CGTGTTAGAATATAATTAACTGTTCCTGAGCCACACTACAAACTTGAGCTTTTGGTTGAGTTGGTTCCATGACAAATCCCACTTGTCCGCATTGTGCGAGTTTTGGATCGCTGTTAAAAAAATTACGGCCACTTAACAGGTTTTTTAAGAAAATGCTTGTTTTTCGCAAATAAATGAAAGGTGAGATTATTTTAGGAAAATTTACTTTTTTCTCTTTTAAAATTTATTAAATTCAAAATTTAGGTTTTTTAAAATTATAACAGTACACTCTTGTATGATATTTTTCTCAATTTGTTTTTTACTCCCTCCGTCCCTGAGTGTTTGTCCACTTTCATTTTTGCACACCATTCAATGCACTTCTTTAATCAATTTTATCTTGTAATTTGTATATTAAAAAATTATAAAAATTATATATTAATAATCTATATGTTAAGACAAATCAAACAAGATCACACATGACTATTTTTAGGCTTACACATTGATAGAATTTGATGAGTCAAAGTGCTTAGATGAACAGTTCCAAAAGTCAAAAGTGGACAGACACTCAGGAACGGACCAAGTAAAATATAACAATTTACAAATTTTGTTTTCTGTATTAGGGAAATATAATCTTGGATTATTGAAAAATAATTCAGAGTATTGTTCGAGAAAGAAATTGCAATACAAACAAATTAAAGTGAGTTATAAAGTTTATTAGTGTCGTTTTGGAGAATTTGTATTAAATTATAAAAAAGTTGCAAGTTAGTTAGTTCCATTTTAGAACTTTTTTTTATTACGGGTATGGTAATAGAAGATTATCAATAAGCATTTTGGAGTGTTGTTCATGAAAAAAATTGCAATACAACAAAAAATGTAGTGAGGTATAAAAATCAAAGTTACACTTCAGAAAAAATTATTGTGTTATTTTAACAATTGTTGTAAAGAGGTTTTGCAAAAAATATTTATATAGAATTATCAATAAATATTCACAAGTTTTGTAGTGCCATTTTTTTGAAAATAATAATAGTATAGTATCAAAATGCAATTCAAAGTGCCGCTCAAAAAAAATAATTGTAACTTACAAAAAACATAGTGAATTATTTACTAAATAAATTAGCTCCATTGTGTAGAATAATTTATTGTTCAATTATTACTAGACTGTCAATTATCTAAAAAAATTATTAGTTTCAATCTCAAAAATACTTCAATTTGGTATTATTTTTAAAAACATTTTTAAAAATTAAATTTAAATTCAAATTAGAAATTCAAAAACGAAAAAAAATGAAATTTACCTAAAATAATTTCACCTTTCATTTATTTGTAGTGCTCGTTAGCTTTTTAACAGCGACCCAAAACTTGCATATATGTGGAAGGGTGAGATTATTTTCGATGTCAATGAAATGTAAGATTATTTTTGAAAAAACATGAAAATGTAGGATTATTTGAGACAATTTTTCCAAATTCAAATGCTAACTTTGAAGAAAGGGGAGTATGTATAATCAAATTTAGGACATAGAAGTAGACATAATTTTTAAAATAGATCTTGAATTGTCTGGTTAAAGTTAAAAGAGATAATCGGAAAATAACAGAGCACAAGGGGAGACATGTTATGATGACACCACACTTTCTTTTCGCACGCTTTCTTCAGGTTTGTAAGTCTATTGTGCTCCGTAATTTAGTGTAGACTGTAGAGTGGAGATCACTCATTAGCCTATGAGGGGAGGATTTGATTTTTGAGGCTACCCTAATAATAACAACTAAGACCGTGTTTAGTCATGCAGTTTCAGAAATCTTTATTCGTTATTTGGCACCTAGCTCAATAGGGGTTTCATGACAAAAAATAAATATAGTCATAAAGCCCCAGAATCCCTCCTCATGATTACAAATTAATCATTTTTATTTATCTTTTTAAATTTAAACTAAAATAAATAAATAAAACATACTCCATACATGTAACGACACAAAATATGGCCTAAAATTTATTATAAAACAAAAGTAATTTTTGTCCAATAAGGAATATTTATACGTTTGACCAAAAATAAATGGATTTTTAAAATAATGACTTTTTGTTAAAAACTTATTTTTATGGATATGTCTCGAAGAGACAAATCCAACGGTACATTTTATGAACCAATCTGATTTACAGATTTCAAGTTATGACGATTTTTAAATATTAAAATTTGTAACTTTGACCCATAAAAATAAACTCAATTCAAAATTGATTTCATAAAATTAGAAATCATAATTTTTGACACTTGATAACATCATATTAATCATTTGGATTGAATTCGTATATTTTTATCTCATTCATATTATTAAATTAATTTATGACTGAGACAGACCCGAACACTGATAAAAATAAAAGTTCTCATAAAAATATTCTGATTACATCAAAATTTTAGTTTTGACAGTCTGATTCCAAAAACACAATCCGTTTTCCATTCGGAGTAGTTTGGGCGAAAAAGCGCGTACGATTTGGAGTAAACTATTCAGTTTTGGCTAAAAGCCAAAACTTAATTCTCAAATATCTCCCCAAATCACGTAGCCAACCAAGGGATATCTCACAAGCCCATTTTTCAATCTCCACTAACTCCACTATCATAAGCGTCCAAAATTATCATATAATACTCCACCACCATCTTCATCATTATCATTATTATCATCATGTTCCACCACCATTCATCCACCCATCTCCTCCTCATTCTCTCTCTGTCGGCAGCCCAAAGAAGGAGAAGAAAACATCAATGTTCCATGGTTGTATACTAAGGAGGAAGAAGAAGAAGCAAGAAGAAAACCATAAAGTCTCAAAATCCTGAAACCAAAACATATCAGTCCACTTTGAGGTAAAAACTGAAATTTTCCATCCATTCTCGCGAAATACTTTCTAAACCAAAGTTGTAGCCTCGGACGATACGAATCCATTCCAACAAACGGCTCGCGATTTCGTTAAGTAACGAAGAAGATATGGCCAAAATACCGGGACTGCGCCAGTGGTGGCGAGCTCCTCAGGTTGGACCATTTTCTTCACCAAATTCATATTATTTCATTTCAAATACTTACCATAAACTCTCTAACGATTATTAGAAACATCCGGAAGGTATCGTAGAGAAGGTTCGGTGTTGGAATATTGAAGTTAGTGAGTTAATCGTCGGAATCGTTGTTCACCGGAGTATTCAAAAATTCTGGACAGCAACTATCCCTTGACTTCAGGTCTGATTTACGCTATCTTACATCTGTTAAATCGAAATACTTTCTATACGAAAGTTATAGCCTTACATCTTAGGAATCCACAGAATCAAACGGTTTGCAATTCCGTGAAGAAACGATGGAGATATGCCCAAAATACCGCAGGCTGTCCAATTATGACGGAAATGACAAAGTTGGCAAATTTCGATGTTGTTTCCACTCCCGCTCATCCGTAAGGTTTCGGCCTATGATTTCCAGGTCTGTACCTTTGCGTTAGACTTGTTGAATCATTCATCACATACATACATGAACATATATGTTAATCCATATGTTGAAATCATCCCGAAATAAATATGTGATACATATATAAGTCATCTTTGTGTTAAGACCAAAATACACCAAATCCATAAGTTATTATATATATACATAAGTATATACAAACATTGAAATCAACCCAACAATATGTATATATTAATCAAATGTGTCTAAAAGACTTAAAGAAGTATTTTGGACACTCACAATATCAAGAGAAAGATTCGCAGACCCAAACGGTCGACCGTCGCGTTAAACTTCGTGACGAACCAAGACTGTCAGCCAAACGGTCAACCGCCGACGGCTGACGGTCGACCGCCGCCTGCCCAGCCAAGGACCGCCGTCCACCTCCAGTCAACAACGGTCGACCGCCAGTCAACCGCGGTCGACCGTCACGGTGAATCGCCAATCCGACCTGATGAAGATCAAGGTCGACCGTCGCGCCAAACGGTCGACCGTTCCGAGCCCCGTAGCTTAATTAAATGATATTTTTATCAGATTTCACCCAAATAAAATAAAGTATATTTATCCATTCATATTATTTACAAATTGCTCATATCATATGACTCATATCATCACACATATTGTAGCATATCATATCATATGCATGCGTAAGAGATCATGCGTAATTGCGTCTCTTATAGCTGTGATTGTGCGGGACTTAGCAGTCCGACATCACTGACCGGGCTTAGTGTACGTACATGGTATTCAGGCTTTCGAGTACCACCCCTATTTTTCTAGTCTCCCTTGTGAGACTAAGGTGGCATGAGTTCGTCGTAC